TGGGGGACTTTAGAACTACAGCCCTGAGACAGTCAACCAGAGCCCAACTTTAGGGCCTTAGTAAAGTCACAGAGAGGAAAATGGTAGGAAGATGGCTTCACAGCCACTGTACCCCCTCCTAGTAATTCATGGCTCACACATCTAGGAGTCCCCATACTGAGCCATGCAGTTTGAGGCTATGGTAAATAGAACCAACATCGGCCTGGTGCCCATGGCTCGTACCTGTAATCCTAGGTACTCAAGAGGCTGAGATCTGAGGATAAAGTTTTGAAACCAGCTCTGACAGTGACATCTCCCAATGACCCCCCCCCCAACAAAGTCCAGATGTAGAGCTGTGGCTCAAGTGGTAGAGCACTAGACTTTATTTAGCAAGTAAGCCCTGAGTTCCAACTCTAGGACACAAAAACAAAGCAAAACAGAAAACAACAACAATAACAAAAACCACCTGTGGTGATTCCATGTGGAGGGTATAAATGCCAGCAAAGCAAATAAGTAAATTGTAAATTATGCTTTGTGCTTTAGAAAAGAAAAACAGAGGAATGGAGATATGTGGGGTATGGGTTCTAGAGGAATACTGGGAGCTGGTGTGTTTAAGGAACAGCAAAGGCCAGTGTGGTGGAGGAACAGGAAATGAAGAGGACAGGGAGAGGCTGGGGTGGGGGTGGGGCACGTCCCTGAGGGACATTGAAATTACACTGGCATTTGTATTTTAAAGACAATTGTTTTATTTTTATCTATGTGGTACCAAGGAATCAAACCCAGGGTCTCAAGAGTGCTAAGCAAACACTTTACCCACTAAGTCATATTCCCAGCCCCACTAATTTGTTTGATTGATTCTGGGGTTAGCACTAGGAGACTATGCTTGCTTGACCTATACTCCAGCCTTCTTTTGCTTTATGTATTTCCCCCCTGTACCTCCCCCCCCACAGCCGGCCTTGGACTCTGAATTTCTTGACTATGTTTCTCAACTAGTTGAGATTATAGACATGAACTACCACACACAGTTTATTTATTGAGATGGTTATCTTCCTAATTTTTTGCCCAGGCTAAGTCTTGAATCTTGATCATTCAGATCTCTACTTCCCAAGTTGCTGGCATTGCAGTTGGAGCCACCACCACCCTTATAACAATCTGAGGGACATGGAGGGACACAGACATGGGTATAGGCCTCAGTACTGGCACACACACACACACACACACACACACATCTGGTGTGCTTCTCACAGGACTAAAATCAAGCGGGTAGCAGGGCTACATTACCCCAGAAGATGCCAGGAAAAAGAAGATCTGTTCCATTGCCTTTTCTAGATTTTAGGAGCTTGCCTGCATTCCTTAGCTTGTGGCCACTTTCTTCATCCTCACAGCCATAAGAACAGAACCCTATAGTCTGACCTTCTTCCTTCTGTTGGTTTCACACATCCAGTATAATCTAGAACACTCTTCCCATTCAAGGATTTGCAAAGTCCATTTAAGGGGACATTATGGGTTCTAGGCTTCTACATCCTTGGAGAGCCATGATTCTGATCACCAAAGGAGACTACTAAGTAGACTAAGCAAGGGATGATGTGGCTTGTCCAGAGTCACAGCTATGAAGGAAGTGACAAATGACGTGTTCTAAGAACTGGCTGTGTGGGCCTTTCCCTCCTCGTGGAAGGAAAGCTAGTCCTCTGTTTGGGGTTTGGTCCTGGATGAAGAAGGGTGTTTCTCAAGGGCAAAGCCAAAGTCATCTTGGAGCCCTGTGGGCTTTGAGGCATAGTCTTTGCTTCTTGGTCTTCACAGGTTCAAATGAGCCTGCCAGAGCTCAAGTGCAGTGCTCCTCCAGCACAAGCTCTCCTATTTCCTGCTTACACCTCTCAGGTTCTGCTAGTCAGACTGCATATTCCCCAGGAAAGCCTCACCTGTGCTTAGGCCATCACATTCATTTGTGTGGGAGAGCATTTTTTAAAATGCTTTATTTAATTTAAATTTTTTTTTTTGTCAGTTGTGGGGCTTGAACCCTGGGCCTGAGCACTATCCCTGAGCTCTTCAGCTCAAGGTGGATGCTCTACCACTTGAACCACAGTACCACTTCTGGTTTTCTGGTGGTTAATTGGAGATAAGAGTCTCATAGAGGGCTGGGAAGGTGGCTCAGTGGTAGAGCACTTGCCTTGCATGCTCGAGGCCCTGGGTTCGATTCCTCAGCACCACATAAGAAAAAAAAAAG